TTTTTTTTTGAAATTTTCAAATTTTGACCCGGCCGGGTTATGAAAACCATTTAATTAATTTTGCATGGCCTTATATTTTAATTTTGTTTGGCGGCAAATTCTGATTGGTTAAGGGCAATAGAATATCAATTAAATGACCTTCCAAGGAAAAAGAAGTACCGTAATAAGCACCTACAGTAAATAAGCATCCTCATGATAAAAATTTATGCTCAATAAATAAGCACCGTCAAATAAACTTTAAAATTGCGTTATAAGATTGATCAATCATGTTTTTCTGTTTTCAAATAACTAGTGAATAAGCACCTCCATTAATTAAAAAAATGTTGCTTATTTTCGGAGTTTTACGGTAACAGAATGTAGATTCATCCTTGATCCATCGTTTTCATTAATTTAATTTATTTTAATTAATTAATTTATTTCTATTTGTAAAGACAATAATTGCTAAATGGCAGTAACGATAAGGACGTTTGCTCAAGTATCAATTTCAATCAATAATATTTTAATTAATCATAATACTGAGTACCAACACGATAATAAATTATCGCTGTTCTCGAAATGGTTGAAAATAACAAGCAAAAAATTTTTTTGTATATATCATGAACTCGATTACATTAGCAATAATAACAATTACTATATGTACGTACATAATTTGGAATCAATTTTTGATCAATGTCATTATCGTAAGTATTTATAGTATTCACAAATAAATTTTTTGTTGGTCATTTTCAACCATTTCGAAAACAGCGATAATCCATTGTGGAAGATACATGAGCATATTTCAATCATATCATCGTCCATACTATCGATATTCAACATCATACTATCGGTTCTCAAAAATGGTCGAATTAATAACGCCATAATGGTTGAGCTGTTTGAGAACACCCTAAATCTGTCTTGAAGCACTAACAAAAAATGTCGGGGAGACAATTTTACCTATAAGCTTGCCCTTTTCCTAACCCCACCCTAACGCTAAACTATAATTCAGATTAATTAAAACTTCGAGAAGTCACGTGGGTGTACATGGATTTAGCCATCCCCTAAATTTAGCACTTAATATTACATATATGACGTTTATTATACGTATTTCAGTATGATGCATAATGATAAACCAGTCTGCAACTCAATTTTAAACCTACGCCTATTCTGATCTGAGATACGTACGGCATATACAGTATATCAGATATTATTTCGCATAATTAAACTTATAGGTAATACAGAGGGCATAATCTGCACATAAAATGATAATTTGAAAATCGAATTAGCATGATAACTATATCGGAAAAGAATTTCGATATAAGCTTTTTATTTCGCTAAATGGTCGCATAAAATCGCATAAATTGACTCATCGAAAGCAGATAGTCGGTGACCCTAGTTAGACTATTTTCGATTTACCCGATTTGATGATCACTATCTTTATGATTTTCTGCGTTCACGGAATTTTGAGAATTTGGTTCGGATGATTTTTAAATCTTGGCCTGGATTTAGGATCTAAAGTCATCATAATGCCGGCTGACATTAATTTGGCCAGAATTTGCGGATTATAATGCTGGCTGACTTTACGTAATTCTGGCCAATCGCAAAATTAGAAAATCATCGTCCCTGATTTAGAGTAACATGTATAAAAACTGTAATATTTCCTTTTTTCCATTGACATCATTGAGTTACTAGATATATTTTATGTTATCTGTTATGCATTATTGTATTACACAAAGATTAATATAAAAATTATACGTATGAAATGAAATTAGCCTTCCTTAAACAATTCTTCGAAATAATTTATAAAAAAAATGTTTATTAATAAAGCTTTTTTTCCCCTTTTACAAGCGTCAAAGCAACCAGCACCACCGCCGCCGCCACCACCACCTCCGTTGCATAAGAGAATTACATTGTGTGTCGATAAAGAACGGTTTGTTTTGATCGCCAACGATGAATATTTGTTAATTAACTTGGAAAGTGGAGAAATTGAAAGGAAAGGTATTCGACCTGTAAATAAGTTCTATTGATAGAAGTTGCCTTTTGAGGAATGGGATTAGTTTGGATCGGATACCGAAATTATATTTGAAAAATGTGTTGTGTACGATTTTATTAATTTGATTAGATGGTTACGAAGCATCACAGGACGCAAGGTTTTATGATGTGTATGGGGTTATAGGCTTTCTAAAACTATTAACAGGTATGTAAAGAAAATTTTGATATTTTTTTATATAGGAATTAATGAATACATATTAATTACATTTAATATTCGTACGTTACTCAAGCAATTCATCTCGTTTTAATTACGGATCGAAAGCATATCGGTCAAATTCAGGGTAAAAATGTTTATATAGTGAAAAATGTTATCATTTTACCTTTGGATTTCGATCGTGCTTGTAGAATTCTGGAGAGATACGTAAGCTACATTATTTTTCATCAAAAAGCTTAAATATTTGTCACTCATCATGTTAATTTTGATTTAAGTCGTGGCCTGTAGATGATGATTATCAAGGGAGTGCTGTTGATGATAGTGGCACGACAGGGACGCACCAACGATACATTTCTAATGTGATTGAAGAGACTATCGTAGAACCCCAAACTGCTGATCTATCATCATCACCTACTCTAATATCCCCTTCTATTGAAGTTACACCACCAACCGAATTACAAATGAAAAAGCAACCACTTACAGCGTTTGTTTCAAAAATGAAATCCGCATGGACAGATTTCGGGCGGAGGAGATCGCCTTCATTATATTCTAACGGGTCAGACTCAGAAGATTATGATAAGGATACAGAGTGGGAAACAATAACATCTGTCACTGAAACATACGTGAATATGGACTCAAGTGAAGATTTATCAAAAAGCCCATCGACCGGTAAGCTGTCGATAGCTACCGGGTTATCGAATGCAGCAAAGAGGGTTACTGGCGTTTGGGATGGGTTCGCTAATGATATTGGGAGCCCAAAGACCCTTAAAGATCCAATTGACCCAAATACCCTCCTTAATGTTAAAGATCCAATTGAAAAGAGAGTGAGCTTATCATTCCGTTTCAAATAATATGTAATTATTTTAGGTCATTATTAAGAGTACAAAATGTAATTGGTTTTATAGGCTATGGATGCAAGGATTTCGAAAGAAATTTTATCATTGTTTCGTTCAGATGCATTTTTCTATTCTTATGAACTTGGTAATATTTAGTTTTACTTCTGAGTAGATGTTTTATGATGCTTTATTTTATATTAATTTCAATAAAATAGATATTACGACTTCCCTGCAGCAAAAGTATGAACGAGGTCGATTAAAAGATCAACCGTTATGGAAACAAACTAATAAGAAATTTTGGTGGAATGAGCATATGCTTAAGAGTTTTATAGAACTCGAGGTAATAATTGCTGGAAATAACGCTAATTAGAGATATCAAAATAATTTATGCATAAAAATGAATCTTTAGTTACATGCGTGGATATTACCTATAATGCAAGGCTATCTGCAGTCAGAACATTGTGAAATTGACAGCCGAGTATTTGATTTTACAATCATTTCTCGAAGAAGTCGAGAAAGATCAGGTTTGATCAATCCTAAATTCGCTTTATATTACTTAAATAAACGAATTTGAAATGATGATAAATCTAATTTTTATTCATGATTATTCGATGCTTTGAAGGGTTGAGATATCAACGCAGAGGTATCAATGAACAAGGAGCTGTGGCAAATTATGTTGAAACAGAACAAATCCTGTCAATTAAGGTAATGAATGATATAGCTTTATTACGATTAAATTTTAATATCCTTATGGATTGATGATTATTTATGTAAATAATAACATTATACGTGTTTATAGATTGATGATTCAAATCATGATGTCTCATTTTTACAAGTTCGTGGCTCAAGTAATTATATAATGTTATATTATAAATTTAGCATTTTTTTCTTATTAATTACATAATATTTCCTGACAATAAAATTGGTTACATAGTTCCATTATTTTGGTCTCAATCTCCATATAGTCTAAAACCGAAGCCATTTCTTGAAAGATCGGTAACTGAAAATGCCGAGGCGTTTGCAAAGCATTTCGATACGTTATTAAACTCATATGGACGCACTAGTTGCATAAACTTGGTTGAATCCATTGGAAGAGAAGCAACTGTTGGTTCTGCTTATCGTGAAGCAATTCAAAATTTAGGACATAAAGATATTGAGTTTGTATTGTAATTTTACTAAGACAAATTTTCTAATATCATTTGAATTAAATTATTTTATTATTGAGTAGGTACATCGAATTTGATTTTCATAAAGAATGTAGAGGAATGAAATATGAAAATATTTCCAAGCTGGTATCTATGCTGGCTAAAAATTTTAATTCGATGGGGTAATCTGATTTTTCAACAACTTATAACTGTTATGGTTTATTAGTTTATTAATGGATGCTAATCTCGGAAACCATTTATTTATAGTTATTTTTGGCAAGTTGGTGACAATGAAGTTCATTGCAAACAAGTGGGAATATTTCGTACGGTTTGTTATCGTCACGTTATTATTATTGCAATTTAGTTTTGAGTATAGTGATTCTCATCTCACCTGGTGATTAGAATTGTATGGATTGTTTGGATAGGACAAATGTTGTGCAGGTATTATTATGATATCTAATTATTTATATAAATTTGCTATGCATAATACGTTCATTGAATCCTATATATATATATATATATATATATTATAGAGTGCATTAGCACGAGAAGTTCTAAACCTGCAACTTCTCAGACTTGGTGTCTCAGAATTTATAGACGGTGGTATATCACATTATGAGGAATTTGAAAACATTTTTAATGATGGTGAGCACTATATATTATATTATTATATGGTTATTATGATTATATTTAAAGAATTGGACAATACTATTTTGTGTGCACTTAGTATGGGCAAATAACGGTGATTCTATAAGTAGAGAATATGCAGGAACTAGCGCTTTAAAGGGTGATTTCACAAGGTATTTTAATTTTTTATTTATTTTTTATTTTTTTTATTTATTATAAATTAATTGTACATTTCTGTAGAACTGGTGAGACAATTTGTCGACTTGTTGTGATAATTTCTTTCACGATTCTAGAAATTCTTATGATATAATTGATTGCTTACGTGATAGGAAAACGAAATCTTCAAGGAGTCTTTAATGATGCATCAAATTCATTGGCTAGAATGTTTCAAAATACATTTAAAGACTTCTTTAGACAGGTAAAAAAAAATCGGGTTATTTTCTTTGTTATAATAGTATCTCATTGTTTGTTGCATATGAATGTCTATATAGGCAACAATTGATTACCTTCTTGGAAATCATTCATTGGATGTATTTCAAGAATTGCAGCAAAAGTTTGAAGCATCACAACCTGGTGATGCTGAAAGGTGGGCAAAAGTTAGGGCCAATGCTAGTAAGTTCCTCAAGCATTTAAACTAGATTATTAAGTGTAATGGCCTAAAATATTATTCTTGGGGCATTAATTGATTTATTTGACTTTATAGTTGATATTAGCAGTTCAATTGTTATTGATAGTAGTGAAGAAAAAATTACCGGATGGACTTTTTTGTCGCCGAACGAACCAAACACAGTGTAATTGATTTATATAAACTTAGATTTCTTATTTTCTTTCATATTGATATGCTTTTACTTATTATAACTGTATAAACAATTACTTTAATTGTGCATATTAGACGAAGTAAATCGTATGAGGAAAAAGTATTGTTATTAACCAAAAAAGCATTGTATGTATGTACATTTCATTATCGTCTTGAGAAGGTTGTACAGTTTATGAGAATTGGTTTGGGTGAGATTATTTGCATTGAAAAAGGTGAGATTCATTTTTTCGTTTTTTGTTTAATCGTATATATTATGCCTATTTAAAGCATCTATTCGTAAAATATGTTACTGACCATTTAATATCATTAAGGCGAATATATATTATCAACGTTATATCAATCATGTGTAACGCCAGAAGATAATTATGGATTTGTGATATACTATCGAGCGTCAGGTGAATCAAGTCGAATAAATAGCGGTAGTATGAGAAATAACAATAACACCAGCGATCCATTAAACAAAACCAATGATACTGGAAGTGGAACTAATTCTCGTACTAATAGTAAAACAAACTCTTTACCGATGAATTTTAAAAGTGAATATGAAGATAAAAAGTTTATAGCATTTAAAGCATTTCGAAGTAATTTAGTCGGTGAAGCGACAAAATTTGATGGCGGTGCTGGAGGAAAGGCCATAAATATGAATAAAGGAACTGATGAAGATAAAACAGTCGAAGGAGTAAGAGAAAGAGTTACGAGCAAACAAGTCGTCAATGAAGTTGTTGATGAGCTTGTTGAGGCGTGTAGGAATATTGGAAATGCAGAGGATGGATTTGTTGTTGAGAAGCCAATCATAGGGTACGTAATTTGTGATTTACTTATTGTTTGTATTACATTAACTCATGATTAATTTAATAATAGGTTTGCAGAGGCGAATAAGAGTACAGGAATTATGACAAGAGTTGGGTTTAAGGTTAAGCAAGCATTGTGGCTTTGAGATTTATTTATTTATTTTATTTATGTTTTGAACTTTGGAAATAATTTAAAGTTTTAAAATGAAGATTTTTATCAGAATATACTAATATGAGTATATATATATTTATTATTATTATTATTAAATTTTGTATATGTATTGATTTATAGCAAAAGTTTTGGTTTTATTCATCAATCCCCTGTGGTCTTGATATAGAATTGGGAATTATTTAATTTGTTAATGTGATTCATAAATTTTAATAAATTAATTTTATTGATGTAGTCTATTATAACAAGAATCAAAATCAATTTATTTGAATACTTTTATTCTAAAAGAATTACTGCATTCAGTATTAATATTCTTCTATAGAAATTGCCTAGCGTCAATTGACAGGTTTTTTCAATCAAACATTTGCCGATCATCGTTTTTAATTGAAACAATTCTCGAAAAACTGAAATCAAATTATAATGAAATTCGAGACAATTCAAAGCCAGTGATCATCACATCATGAAATGCGTCATTTGTTTACTAGCACTAACGCTAACAAATTGGCCTAAACTGTACTATCACCTAACCCTAACACTAACCCAAACTTAGGCCGAGTGTTTAATCATGTGATGTGATGAGCACGAAGATATCACTACCCAGTCAACAAGAGCATGGTTGTTGTGGATATTCGGGAGATACAGTAATTTACCTGGTATATATATAGTTATAATTTTACATCTCCGTTAAAATAACGATAAAAATAGATCTAGCGCTCAGTGTGCTGGCACATGAAAGTTTGGCCGGTACTAATAAATATCCATTCCAGCACTTCCAAGATTAACATTGTTCACATGACCAAATTTTAGAAACAAAAATTCGATACAGTTAGGCATATGTTGTGAATTAATTCTCGCGAGTTTAAATTTTACTTATATTTCAGAAAATGCCAAAAAAAATAATTTATTATTCGGAAACTATGAAAATTAATTTCGTCACTAAGAAAAATTGCATTCTAACGGACTATTTCCGAATAATAATGCGTATTAATAAGTATATTAATTAAAACAATGACTTTTGGGATAACTTAAATATCGTTATATATATAATTAATAATTTCAATTTTTTAATGGGAAATTGAGATTAGTTATTATCATGATATGTATCGTCTACATATTCTACTGTATTAATAACAAATTAATTTTCAACAAAGGATTAAATAAGCTCGATAATTAATAGCATCCATCTATTCGTTCAGTATTCAAATAAGCTCGACTTGTAAGCGTGATTGTGAATAACCAAATAATTCAAATAATTAATAAGGTCTCCTATCTCTAATTGCATCAAAGTAATATTCTAAATAATCTTATAGGATTAGTTGAAGAGTAATAACTAAGATCTAGTCTCGTTATCAATTAGATCAACATTAAAAAAATCTTCAGAAAAAAGAAAAATACCTAAAGTTAACTCTTTTTATCAAGATTCGCTTTATGCATCTCCAAAGACCTCACCATTTCAGGTTGTAATTGTTTTTTATTTGGTAGTTTAGACATCCGTTCAACCGTATTTTCGCGTAATAACGCTCATGGGCGTTATTTAGAATAATGGCCCGAATTAAGCTTAATTTGGGCCAAATTTTGAAATTATACCCTGCGCGTTATTTCGCGAATATACGGTAATAATATTCAAAATATCCGAAACAGGTCCTACAATTAACGGTGCCAAATTTTGATAAGTCACTAACTGTTCAATAACAGCGTTTAAGACCGATCCTCGAATCATTGTTATATGTTATGTTGAACTATGAAGAATAATCGATTGAAATGAAGTTGCTCATAGTATAAATTAAAAAGATATACTATATGAAGTTGTTTTTGATTGTTGAGGAGCATGTGGTGGAGATATTTTTTGACTTTATACTTGGTGGTGACAGTGAATCTTTTTTTAAATTTATAGTGTTGTGTAATTTTTATGTATACAGTCGTCCCCCCTAAGATCACCTCCTATATAATCACAACTTCTATACAATCACATAAGTTTATATGTTTGTCTTCTATATAGTAAAAATACCTCTATATAATCACAATTGGCTTACAATCACTATCACACTTTTTTATAATTTTTTTTAATAATTTATTAATAAAATTACCTCTTTAAAATCACAAATTATATACAGTATATAAATATAGACGTTTAAAATTGTTCTAAAACTTTGATTAAAGATATCTCAGCAACCACTTGATCAAATCGAATGAAATTTTTTTATTTAAATTCTATAGATCTATATAATTTAAATAAAAAAATTTTCATTCGATTTGATCAAGTGGTTGCTGAGATAACCTTGATCAAAGTTTTGGTAAAAATTTTGGCGCAGCTTTTATTTTGATAGACGTTTTAGAATTCTCTAAAATTTTGATCAGAGATATCTCAGCAACCACTTGATCAAATCGAATGTATTTTTTTTTATTTAAATTCTATAGATATATAGAATTTAAATAAAAAAATTTTCATTCAATTTGATCAAGTGGTTGCTGAGTTATCTTTGGTCAAAGTTTTGTTAAAATTTTGGCGCAGCTTCTATTTTAATAGACGTTTTATAATTCTCTAAAACTTTGATTAAAGCTATTTCAGCAACCACATGATCAAATCGAATGAAATTTTTTTTATTTAAATTCTATAGATCTATAGAATTTAAATAAAAAAATTTTCATTCGATTTGATCAAGTGGTTGCTGAGATATCTTTGATCAAAGTTTTGTTAAAATTTTAGTACAGTTTCTTTTTATTTTAATAGAAGTTTTAGAATTCTCTAAAACTTTGATTAAAGATATCTTAGCAACCACTTGATCAAATTGAATAAAAATTTTTTTATTCAAATTCTATGGATTTATAGAATTTAGATAAGAAAATTTTCGCTCAATTTGATCAAGTGGTTGCTGAGATATCTTTGGTCAAAGTTTTGTTAAAAATTTGGCACAGCTTCTATTTTGATAAGCATTTTAGAATTCTCCAAAACTTTGATTAAAGATATCTTAGCAATGACTTGATCAAATTAAATAAATTTTTTTTTATTTGAATTCTATAAATTTCTAAATTTATAAATTCAAATAAAATTTTTTATTAGATTTAACTAAGTAGCTATCAAAATAAATTTATTTAAATTTTAATAAAAAATTGTTTTTTTTATATATAATTTACCTTTTTAAAATCACATTATTTTATTATGTGATTGTATAGAAGTATTTCTATTAAATCACACCTCTATACAATCACCAAAAAGTGCTAGATAAAATGGGTGATTGTATGGGAAGTTGACTGTATATAGTACTTCACATCAAATGCGCCAAATTTGGGGTATATATAAATACTTTTAGCCAATCAGAATTCATTATATACTAATGCTGATTGGATAAAAAAATTTTAAAAAAACTTTTTAAATTTTTTTTATATTAAATGCCAAAATTTTGAAAACATAGTAGCTTTAAACACCTATAACTTTAAACTATAAGCTTTTTCAAAAATTTTAGCCAATAATTTTGATAGAACTAATAAAAATATTTAAAATTTATTTTATAGATTTTTTAAAAAATACATATTTTTTATGAGAAGTAGCTTGGAGCACCATAGAACAACTTACTTTATAAGAATTTTAAGTTTTATCAATTAACATCATTTTGAAATAATCAATATATAATATATAATAGTGTAAATAAACACTATAATAATAAACACTATTGTTACAAAGCAGATTATAACACAACATAATATTAGTATAGTATAGTGTAAATTATAGTTCATTATTTGTATATACAATATTAGTTATATTTATTTAGTATTATATAGTTATTATTATATAGTTATATTTATTAGTATAGTATTAGTTATTATCTTTATTATTGTATTAGTTATAGAAATATTATTGGCTAGTTAACTGAGGCACAGTAATGCCGCACAAGTACTTGTCAGTACCTTCACACACAAATACCTGTTAGTACCTTCACACAAGTATCTGTCAGTACCTTCACACAAGTACCTGTCAGTACCTTCACACAAGTATCTATTAGTAACCTCTCAGTATCTCTACACGAGTACCTCTTAGTACCTCTATATGAGTACCTTTCAGTACCTCTGTACAAGTACCTCTTAGTATCTCTACATGGTTTAGCAGTTATACCGTTATATCTCTTATGTGTGAAAAAGTTATAAAAAGAGAGCCTTTGCCTCTTTTACTCAAGTCAGAGTTAGTTAGCCTTCTCTATCCTCTTATAGTATCTAGCCCTACCTTCTTATCTTGTATAAGTGATATACTCTCTCTAGAGTAATCCTAGTAGGTGAGGTTATTCTTCTTGATATATAATAAATAAAGTATTAACTTATATACTGTCCCTATATCGAACCATTTGCCTCCTGCTAGTGGAAGTAGTGCATATTCTACTTTCACCCCATGTACATCCCAATAGCAGGGTCCCTGTACTGGGTGATTTTGTTACCTTGCTATGTAGTGTTTAAGAAGGCCGTAGCATTGTAACACTATAAGACAAACACTATAAAACAAACACTATGAGACAAAAATATAATTTGATTGGCTAGTTATAAAAAAAATCATCTTTATGTATAAAACCTGATTTTCAAATTTGGGGTATTCACAGGTTCATGTTTAAATTCTGTGCTTTGGAATATAAATCTGTATAATTGAATTACTTACTATAATCACTATAGCAACTATAGTATACTAGGTAAATAAAAACCATTTAAAGTTTGAAGGACTTGTCATGGATCAGTTCAACAATAAATATTTTTAGAGCAAATGTTTGTTTTTATCAGTCAACCAATCAAAACCCTTAATTTGTAAACACACACACAACCAGGTTACTATAACTCTTTTGTAATGTTCTTCAAACAATTAACTCTATACTTATTTCTTAATTCCGGAGCAAAGCAACAGGTTATATGCTAGTAATACATATAATACATTAGAGTTCTGTTTTTAATTATATGTTGAAAATCTTTAAATATTTCAAATAATGTGAGCTACTAAAATAGTCAAGTAATTAAATAACTAAATATATCTCTTATTGAATAAATTTTTGCATAATGTTTTCTGAAATAGGTTTTCTGAAGTAAATAGTAAATAGAAAGAAAGTTTTCATTAGAAAAAATTTTTTAGACTGTTCTGTGTAAATAAAAATCTATACAAAACTTCAGACTCACTAGCTATAGCTACAGAAATTAAATAACAGTTCTGTACAAAATTTCAAAATATAAAAAATTTTGTATTTTTACAAGTTTTTGCAAATTTGTATTTATTTAATTCTCCTAATGTTAATTGGACATTTAAGGAATTTCTGCTCTTCTAAGAAATGCCCAAATCAGGCTACAAACAATGTAAATAATCAGCAACTATCTAATTTTTTTTATTTGAATTTTATAATTCAAATAAAGAGAAGTTCATTAAATTTTATCAGCTGGTTGCTGAAATATCATTGCTCAAAGTTTTTTAAAAAATTAGCTTATCTTTAATAAAAGCTATACCAAATTTTTCTTAAAACTTTGAGCTAATCAAATTTAATAAATTTTTTTTATTTAAATTCTATATATTTATAAAATTTAAATAAAAAAAATTTCATTGAATTTGATTAGGCAGTAGCTAAAATATTTTTGTTCAAAGCTTTTAAACATCAAAAATAAAAAAGTTTTTTATTTGAATTCTATAAATCTATAAAACTCAAATAAAAAAAAATCATCAAATTTGATTATTTTAAGAAACAACTTATATTTTGATATTATAATGAAAATTCATAGTATTTACTCTAATTTTGAAAAGCTTAGTCTAAAGCTATTACTA